ATATTTTAAATAATTTTTTATATACTTAAAAAATATTTAATAAAATATATTTTGAATATATTTTAAATATATTTTAAGTATATTTTAAACTGCATAGTTTTTATAGGGTAAAATACAAATTCTTTTACTTTTGTATAATTTCGATAAAATATAAACCATATTTACAGCCTCCTGACTTGTATTAATCTTGTTATAACCATTATTTAACTATATAAAATACTCATAGATAGCTTACCATTTATTATATTCTATAGCTATAAATACTTGTCTATTCTTTAGAAGATTTTTTCAAAATTGGATAATTACTTCACAAAGTACAACAGATGTTGCTTCATCTTCATTTTGTTCTGTTGAAAATTTCAAATGTGTTGAAGACACCAAAAATATTGAGTATATATTTAAAAATCCAGTTTCCAAATTATTAGAAAATCCAACAGTAGATCTAAAAAAGCTGATAATTTTATGAGTTTCCTTGGAAGCATTGATAAGTGTACCGGAGATATCAAACTTACAATAATAGATTATCTTTAATACACCTTTTATTGTTCTTGTATTTTTTTTTTTAGCTTTCTTCATGTTAGAGTTGTAATAAATAAATGTGTATATTTCTTCTCCTCCTCCTCCTCCTCATCACTTCCATTTTCTTCATTTTTCTCCTCTAGACTGTTAAAATTATTATCTTTTAAAATTTGTTTTTCCTGAATTTTTTTTTTTTTTTTAATTATTTTTTCAGGTTATCTACTTCCTTTTGTCATTATAAACTTAAAGAAGTCTGATGTTTTTTTTTCTAGATATAATTTTGAATTTAAAAAAGTTGATTTTGGAAATATGATCTAATCTATACTTGCATACAAAATTATTTTGAGATCCCAAAATTACAATTTTGAAAAAAAAAATCAAAATGAATTTTTTATAGAAGATAAAATTATTTTACTTAAAATTCAAAATTTTTTAATCACTTAGATTTATTCTTTAATTGAATATATATATAACTAGGTACTTTTTTTACTTCTATATATAGAATAGATTCTGTATAAATCTCAAAAAATCAAAATACTTCAAAAATTCAAAATCAATTTTGAAAACATATATAGTTCAATCATATCTGTTAAATATAATCGAAATGCAAAATTTTATTAGTCGATTATGGTTATATTATTATAAGGATGTGTTTTATCAGCAATTGATCATATTAAAATAGTACATTTTTAAATGACTACTAATCAAAAATGAGTCACTATTTTTTAAAAAGGAGACTGGTGTTTTGTAGTTATACCAATTTACTACAAAATAGTGGTCTTCTTTTTCTTGTACTCAATTTAAATAATAATCCTTTACTATTTAAAAATAGTTAGTTTTATTGGTGTTTCTAAGTGTCCCGCATTGTATAAAGTTTTTTTTATACAGTATGGAACAAAAAAATAAGAAATTTGACACATGACAAAAAATAATTTTCTTTACTAAAAATAAATGTTTTTTTTAACAAAAAAAATAGTAACAAAACTTTATTATATTTGTGAAATAATGGTATATATAATGTTAAAGAATTACATAAACTTACAAATATCTCAATACCTATAATTTATAGAAACATAAAAAAAATATAAAAAAAAGATTCATTAAAGTATGTTGGAGGGAACGGTCAATTCAAAAAAATTATTGCAAATGTTTCTAGGATATTTGATCAATATATAAAGCATGACACATCTCTTTCTACAAGAACTTTGACAAGAAAATTAGAAAATATGAATATAGAAGTATCTTATAGAACCATTGGAAGGTACCTTACAAGTATTGGATATTTAAAAAAAACTTTCCAAAGCAATCCCTATGTTAACTAAAGCATATAAACAAAAATATTTAGAATGGATCAAAAAATAATCAATGGAATAAAATAATTTACTGACAAAACTACTTTCCAACTTTTTAGAAACACTGTAGAACATTGGTATAAGGGAAAAAGACCAGTTCATTGTATGTCTAAAGATCATACAAAAATTATGGTGTAAGGTGGTTTTTGCATAAAAGGAAAAACAAGTTTATTTTGTTTTAAACAAATTATAAATACTGAATTTTTTGTGAAAATTTTTTGTACACATAATCCTGAGATTACCCAGATGCTTGGTAATAATTTTTGCTTTTAGTAAGACAACGACCCAAAGCATACAAGTCATCTTGCCAAGGCCTTTGTTCAAGAAAATTTTTCAAAGGTTTTAGGGTGGCCATCAAATAGTCCGGATTTAAACCCCATTAAAAACCTTTGGACAATTGTAAAGAGTAATGTCGAGAAACGGATGCCAAGAAAACTAAATGATTTGGAAAGATTTATGATGGAGGAATGGCAAAATATTCCCCAAACGGTTCTAATTAATCTTGTAAACTCAATGAGCCATCGTTGTCAATTAATTATTGAAAATATCATATTAATTTTTTATTAATAAAGTTAGCCGATCTTCGGCATTAAAATTTCACATGATTTATTTTTTTTGTCCCACACTGTATTTTATAATTTCGATTATTGAACCATCTTCATACGAGGACTTTTATCAGAATGAAAAGAGGAGTAGTATATATTAGTAGAATCCCTCATGGATTTTATGAAGAGGAAATGAAAGAATATTTTGGTCAATTTGGTACCGTCTCTCGATTAAAATTATATCGAAATAAAAAGGTCAATGATTATTTTTTGTTTTTTTATTTTTTTTCTATTTTTTTATTTTTAAATTTTCAATTAATTTAATTAGTTTTAATTTAATTTATTTTTAATGATATATATATATATATATTTATATATATAATAGACTGGAAAATCCAAACATTTCGGGTTTATAGAATTTCTTTCGGAAGAAGTTGCTCAAATTGTAGCAGAAACAATGAATAATTACATTATGTATAATCGGTTACTCAAATGTAAGTCTTTCTCACACTCACTCACGATTCACGCGCGTACCGATTAATGATTTAATAAAATTAAATTAAAATTCCAGGTGAATTGGTTCCTCAAGAAAAAATCAATCCTTTCATGTGGATCGGAGCGAATAAAGAGTTTAAACCGAAATCCTATTTAAAAGAAGCAATGCAGGTACATAATCGAAAGAAAAGATCATTAGAAGAAAAAAAGAAAAGGAATATGAGTTTATTAAAAAGGGAAAAAATTAAAAGAAAAAAATTGGAAAAATTGGGATTCGAATATGAATTTCCTGGTTATGTGAGTACGATTAGAGTTAATAATAATAATATTTTTTTTTATTAATTTGTTTATTATTATTATAATTTTTTTATTTGTTCAATATTATAATTTCGGATATTTTTTGATATTTTTTTGATATTTTTTGATATTTGAGTATAGGCAGCGTGTGTCAAACCAAAACCTGAACCTGAATCAAATAAAGCAACCGATAATGAACCAAATGAAATAACAAATAAAGAAAAGAATGAAGCAATAAGTGAAGAAACGAAGAAGAAAACCAAAGATTCATCAAAAAAACGAGTCCGAAACGAAAAGGTGAAAGATAAAGGTAAAAATAAAAAGGTCAAATTAGAAAAAGATTCAACTGAAAAGGAATTTGAAAAAATGGATAGGGAAATGAAAAAAATGGATGTGGAAAAGGAAAAATCGGGAAAGGAGAAATTGGAAAATGTGAAGGAGAAGATGGGAAAACGAAAAAAAAGAAAACAGCTTAAATAATTTTTAAATCATTTTAAATTATCTAGATAATTATAAAAAAATAATAATAATAATTTTATTAATTTCATGTTTTTTTTCTCCTTCAAATTTCACTTTCACGTACATAAGTGAATAAATTTATAAATAAAAATAATATATATATATATATATATATTCAAATAGGTATATAAAAATGTTATTTCTTTATCTTTTATCTCCTTCCGAACATCAAAAATTATTTATGTAAAAACAATAATTTACAAAAGAAAAAAAAGAAGTTAATTAGTCTCTTAATTCGATAATAAATAAAAAAGGGAAAAATAAATTAAAAGAATAAAGAAATATAAGGCTTTTAAATATATAATTATGTTACATCTAATAATTCTAATTTTTTTTTAATTGCAACAATCTGTACAATAATAAATAGTATATAATAATAAATAATAAATAATAAATAAAATAATTAACAAGAAAAAAAATACTAAAACTACAAAAACTACAACATATGTACATCCAAGAATTAAAAAAAAATAAATGAATAAATAAATAAATAAATAAATAGATAATCATATTTATCATCACCAATTATTCCCCCCCAAAAAAATAAAATAAAATATTATTCGTTATATTTCTCTTTGAAAATCCATGAATTTCCCAATGTACCATGACCTTGATCATGTGCCATCCGATAAAATTTAGCAGCTATTAAAATATGATAATAATTATATAATAACAAATATAATAACAAGAAGAATAATAATAAATATAATAATAAATAATAATTCTTACCCGCTTTCATATCTTTTTTCACACCTTCTCCTTTATAATAACAAAGAGCAATATCATTTTGTGCATCTGGATCACCCTATCATAAATAATATATGTCGTTAATATTATGCCACAAATAATTACACCCAATTAATATGTCATAAATAATATTATTATTATTAAAAAAATAAAATGTATAGTTTGTAATATATATATATTTACCATATTAGCCGCCATTTCAAAATAATAGGCGGCGGTTGATTTACTTTTAGGAACACCCCAACCATGTCTAAAACAAACTCCCAATTCATAAATTGCCAAAACCAATTCACCTTTAAAAGATGACATACTCAAAGTCTTATTTATATTGTTTATAATATTCATAGCAGATTCTGCGGCCATTTGAAGATACTTAAATGCCTTACGAGCATCTGGTTTACATCCCCAACCATGCCTTAACGCTATACCGTAAAGAACAATTCCTATAGCATTATTTTGTTCAGCTGCGATACGAAGGTATTCAGTAGATTTTTCTAGTTGATCATCTTCGTGATATTTAATTCCTTGCATCACATAATCCTCAGCTGTAACTGGTGGTCCCATGGCTGCTAATTCTCTAGCAATAGAACTAATAGAACTGTTAGATTTTCTTTTATTAACATCCTTATTGTTGTTGTTGTTTTTGTTGTTATTATTGGGTTTTGGTAATGTTAGTGGAATTCCACGTGAATTTGGATTCTGGGGAATTTGATTTTGGAATTGATCTTGATTTGGAGACATTTGATTTGGAGACAATTGATTTGGGGACAATTGATTTGGGGACAATTGATTTGGGGACAATTGATATGGGGACGTTTGATTTGGGGACAATTGATATGGGGACATTTGATTTGGGGAAGAAGCTGATGATGAAATAGTTATTGGTTCATTTGTATAATTTCTTGGTGTTGGTGGCATCAATGTTATTGAATTATGTGAATAATCATTTTTTGGTAAATATTCTGCTGAACCAACTGAATCTAAAGAACTTTGTCTAGCTGGTGGTTGCATTATTTGTCCTTTAACTTTTGAATCATCATCATCATCATTATTATTATTGTTGTTATTATTATTATTATTTGAATAATACTGTGCAGGAATTGATCTTTGATTTTGATACTGTTGTTGTTGTCCTATTGATCCTTGTGTAGATATATTATTATTATTATTATTATTATTATTATTATAATAATTGCTGTTATTATTGTCATTGTCATTATTATTTTCATAATTATTATTGTTGTTATAGTTATTATAATTGTTGTTGTTATAATTGTTGTTGTAATTATTATTATTATTATTATTATTATTTTGGAATCTTGGATGATTCATTTCGTGTAAAGGAAGTCTTTGCAAATATGAATTATTTGAATCTTGTACTGTCATCTGCTGAATTTGATCATTAGTTGATTTTTGTTGATACTGTCTTTGTTGATTATGTTGTTTATTATGTTGACTATTATACTGTTTTTGTTGTTGTTGTAATGATTTTAATGATTTTTGAATAGATCTTTGGTCCGAAGGAGTAATCGTACTAGAGGTTGTTGTTGTTGTTGACTGCTTTTGTACTGACATCTGATGATGATGATGATTATTATTATTATTATCATTAATAAATGTTGATTTTTGTTGTTGACTTGAAGAATTGGGAACAGATCTTGAAGCTTGAGTTGATAATGGTTTGAATTGGTTTGATACTTGTTGTTGTGGATACAAAGATCTTTGCTTTGATTGTTGTTCTTCTTGTTTAGGGAAACGGTTTGAATTAATTGGATTTTGTTCTTCATTGGATAAAATTGAAGATTTAGATGATTTGGTTGATAAAGGAGGGTTAAGATGATTATGATAATAATAATTATTATTATTATATTGATCGCGTGTTTTTGAAGATTTCAAAATAGATTTGGGAGGAGGAGCGGAACGAGTAGAAACTTTATTAACATTAACATTATTGTTATTGTTGTTATTATTATTATTATTATTATTATTATTGTTATTATTACTATTATTATTATTATTATTATTAGCTTTTGATGATGGTAATTGTGGCGATAACGGTGATGGTGGTAGCTTATTTTCAAATGTAGAAGATGGTGGTGGTATAAATGAATCTCGATAATAATCTGTTATATCATATTCTGATTCTACTCGTTTTCGTCCTTTCTTCTCTTCCTCTATTTCTTTAACTTCAACTTTATCCACAACTTTTTCGTTTGATACATAACTTGATTGTAAATTAGGTGAAGTAGGTGTTACTGTCGTAGAGAAAAATTCTTGTTCTTTCTGTTGACGAATATAATTGGTTCTCACTTCCAAAGAAGCTGAAGAACCCCATTGACGTGGTGGCTCTGGGTGAACATTATGTTCTTCCGGATAATAATAACCGTCTTGGGAGACTGGACGAGGGCGACGTATTGGGTCATCAGTGCCCAGGTCAACCATCAGCCCTTTCTTAAATTTACCACTCATGTTTAAAAAAAAAATATATTATTATTATTATTTTTATTTTTTTTTAAAAAAAAAGGAAGGTAAAATTAATTAATTATTAATTATTATTATAATTAATTATAATTATTATATTTGTGAATAAATTTATTATGTAAAGGGTTAAAAATTTAAAAAGCACACGTTAAGATTTTGTAGTTAGTTAAGAACGAACAGATTTGGAGTACAAAATTAATTTAAATTACTGTATATTAATTAAAGTTATAAAAGTTAAAATGTTATATACAAAAATATGTATGTTGATATCCTTGTCCAACACAAAACACAAGAGTCGATCTTCCTCCGATAAATTTTTGATTTTTTTTTTTTACTTAAAAAAATAAAAAATAAAAGTAGTAGCACAGAAAGTAAATCTCGAAAGAGTTGGTGGTGAAAGTGTAGGAAAAATATAACGTAATAGAAAATATATTAAGAAATATTAAGAAAATATAATAATAAATAATGGCGGTAAAAAAAACCAAAAAAAATACACGATCTTGAATTCTCTCTCTATTTTAGTTATATATTTCTCTTCTATTTTGCTCTGTTTAATTATATTTTCTTTTACTTCTTTATTCTTACTTAATTATACTATTCATTTACTTATTTATTATTATTTATTTTTTTATTTTTTTTTTAAAAAAAAAAGTTCCAACCAGTAAATCCAAAACCTTTTCTTCAAGAATTGACAGGTAAACCTGTGATTGTTAGATTAAAATGGGGAATGGAATATAAAGGATATTTAGTATCGGTAGATTCTTACATGAATTTGCAGGTAATTTATTATTAATTAAAAAAATTTATTAATTTAAAATTTATTAATTTAAAATTTATTAATTTAAAATTTTATTAATTTATAAATTTATTTATTTGTAACCTATTAATATTTAATATCTACTAAATATCAATAACACATATACATATCACTTTGAATAAATGTATTAGTTGGCTAATACAGAAGAATTTATTGATGGAAATTCGACTGGTGCATTGGGAGAAATATTAATTAGGTTTGAAAAAATTATAATTATTAAATATGTATTAAAATTAATTAAAAATTTAACTTGTGTACAATCATTTTTATAAATAATAATAATAATAAATATATTATTTTTCTCTTTATCGATTCTCTTTATTTCTATAAATATCATTTTCTCTTATAATAGATGTAATAACGTATTATACATTCGAGGAATCGAAGAAGACACGGAAATGGGAGGAACCTAACATAACATTATTTGTTGGTAGCATTTTTTATTGGTAACAAATTTTTATTGGTCACATTTTTTTGTTGGTAACATTTTTTTGATAGAATTTGATATAAGATTTTTGTTTTTATTGTTAACTATATTATTAACAATAAAATATTAGTCTTTGTTAAAATGAATGAACAAATAAAATAATCAAGTTTTTTACTATAATATACTATAATATACTATAATTGAATCATTGTTACCAATCAAGTTTTAATTATTTACAAAATTTTCAAAAAGTGAATTTGTTGTTGTGACAGATTATACTTTAAAACTACTTAAGGTAAAATGATACAAATGATAAAATAGGTAAAATCAGGTAAAACTAGGTGAATAGTAAACTATGTGAACCAAGTGGACTGGATCAACACGTTCACACGTATGCACGCACCAGTTAATTTTTAATATATTAATGCTATTGTTAACATTTGATGTTATATGACTAGAAGAAATAATTAATAATACATGCTAGTAATGTCAGCAATACTATTACTGAATTTATATGCACGTTATCATTTTTTGTATATAATATACATCAATCGTTTGAATCTTTTTTTTACTAATTCTGAAAATATGCACTTGAATGTTTGATTAGATATATTTGCAATATTCGCAGGAATTATGTACTAATTCATTTTCGCTTTATAGTTTGATCGTTATGATTGACTGTAATTTCATTTCGTTAATATTTCTATTGTAAATATTCATAATGGGCTCCACTGAAAATAAAAAAATTATCTAACACAATCGAATTAATACAGGATAAAGACATTTATTTATAGATTATTACCAGTTGTTTCATTTAATAATTAATGAATTTATATAAATTCGATCGGGTGTAAATATTTAGTGGAGCACCCCGATACTTTATTAAATAAAAAATTATTTTAATACATTGTTTCCAAAAGAAAAATAAATTTTGAATATAAATCTTAGAAGTACATTATAATAACATATAATCTTAATATTTATTGTTTTTCTATTATAATTTAATATAATTAAAATGTTCAAAGTTTTGCCAAGAATGTGTTATTAAATATTTATTATCAAATTATCAATGTTTAAAATGAGGATCATTAACAAATATTCCTACTATTATATGTATGGCATATTAAAATATTTTATAAGGAATTGCTTATTTTTTGAAAATGAAACATTCCATTATAAATGATTTTATCAGGTGTCAAAGTTATATTGCCTGTAATATATAAATATAAACACTTGTGGATTTGGATTAATACTGTTTTTACTATTTGTTTAGTTTCATCAGAATTATATCAAAAAGCATTCTGATATTGATTTTCACAATTGAATGCAATTGTTGAAATCAATATACATATTTTAAAATATCTTGAAAATTTCAAGTACTCTTCCATGTCTATCAAAGAAGTTATAATAAGATTGTTTACATTAAAAAACTGCTTGTACAATATTATAGTGATGATTATCATCTTAAATATTGATGATTTTATAATTACAAAGACTACTTAACAAAAATAATAAAAATTTTGCAACAGGATACTGTTTCATTGTTTAAAGTTCAAATATTAAAGAAAAAACAATAACAATTTCAGAAATTCATTATGGAGTACATTTAGAAGGTAATAATTCAAAATTCATTTCACCAAACTAATATGTACAAACAAAAATCAAAATTTTATTGATGTTGCAAATTGGATATCTTGTTTTATAAAAATTCATGAAATAAAAGTTTCTGCTTATAAATTGAAAATATCTATCTAACATAAAGATACCTGTCATAGTTCAGTCACAGATTTTACCATATTTGAAGGTTATCTAAAGTGGGAACAAATTATGTTAAATGACACATGATTTGAAAAAGATATAAAGTGTTGTGAAAAAGAGTGTTAAAAGTATTAAACTAACTTTGAAAAAATTGAAAAAATATTAAAATTGAAAAATGTTTACAGCTAACTTTAAATGTCAATATTGTCCTCATTCTTTTTCAAGCCGTAATGCATATGCCCAACATGTAAATCTATGTATTGTTAAGTATGATATTAGTACAGAAGAATCTAACGATTCCAACAATAAAGTTTCAGAAATAATTTCCATCAGTAAATTTTTCGGGGCGTAAATTTCCGTAACACAAACGGGACCCACGGAAATTTACGCCCAAAAATTCAATT